GCATGGAGGTGCCTCGACGTTAGAAGCCTTACAGTCAACAGAACATTTATTTCAAAGCTGATTTCATAAATCTAAGTGACAAGGATAGACACGGAGAAATATTTTGTTAGGGTTTTTACCACTCATCAGGAACAAGGTTTTTTTCCATGAGAAAGTCTGAAGAATCCATGTTTCATAGCAGTTAAAGTCTGATTAGCAAATCATGCCGCTCCCTCAGCCCTCGACTCCAAGGAAAATATTAATCTTACGGGAATCAATATATTTTCTTGATGTCCTGTTTTAAGGATCCTGTTATTCTAGAGAATGCATGTTCTCAGGGACACAAGTGTATTATCTTTGCAGAGCCTATTCTCCTGACTCTTGTTCCAATTTGTTTGTCCACTGACAAAGGGCAGGTACTAGATAAAATAAAGTGTGAGGTAAAATGTGTGATTGATATGAGACAGCGAAGAGTGCAGATTATTTAAACACCTTCAATCCTAGCTAGCATTAGGCATAGTTCCCAGAATAAATCAATCCTCCAACTGTAAAAAAAAAAAGAGCTAATGTCTCCAATATTTCTTATCCCCTTGTTTCCTTTGTGTCAATAATACTGTATATGCTTGTGCTCCCAAACAGAACCAGAGCTTTCACTCCTTCCAGAATAAAACAGTCGAACAGCTACAAAGCACCTTTTAGCTTCTCCTCCAAATCTGTAGTTTAGGTACCTCTTTTCCCTGTGTCTCCAGTTTATCCTGCTAATGTAAATCTCATCCCACCATGCTGGTGCAGTGTTCTGAGGTCTCTGGCACTCTTCTTTCCCATGTTTCCAAGCTGTGCTCCTGAGCCTTCTTGACTAGATCTGTCTAGAAGCCAAACAGAAATGTTATCTCTATCCCAACCATTGCCTGCTCCTTGCTTTATATATATGACTTTTGGGAGTGCATTTCTGAAATTTCTACTTATAAAAATAAAATATTGAACAGCACCATAAAGACTGGAGGATGCCCACTCTTATGGGACCTACAATGTTGTGAAACTGTGATAAACTCTGGGGTGCTGGCAAAAACAAAAAACATCCTCCCGTTGCAACAAAAAACTACCACAGATCAATAAAGTCAATAAATAAATTTGATAAATTTTGTGCTTTTTTTCCTTCAATAACACTGCAATACAGCACTATGCACATGGACTGTGTGCTTGGAATTCCAGATCTGTAAATCACTTAAGGCTTTGTCCAACTCTCCCTGTGTTCACGAGAAACTTTTTCCTTGCTGAATCCAAGGTAGCCAACACTGTGCGATTACACAGCCCCTGTGTATTTGGGTTTGTGGTTCACACAGGGCATGCCAGACAGTTTTTAGAGACATGATCAGAGGGAATGGTGCATATTAATAAATTATTTTAAAGTACGCCAGTCCATTATATTCCTTTTCCTTCCTTGCCTTTTCCACAGGGCCACAATATTTCCTCTGTTGGGAAAAGAAAAAACCCTTTGGTGTCCTTGGACTTTCTCTGTTTCTAGCTATTTTTACTCAGAACACTGTTTCTTATTTACTTTCAAATGTACATATCCATCAACAAGAACAATACCCTCTCAGGAAAACATGTACGGGAACGTATCTGTTTATGGATCCGGGTTTTGACTTTCCACTGGCTTCCAGGTGGTTGCTGTTTTCCTACCCGTCTCTTAAGATGAGCATTTAAGGAATATCACCCCTACTTAGTTACTGTCTTCTTCAGCTATGTAGGAAGCAAATGAAAATAAACTGTTTCTCTTTACAAAGTAAAAGATGGTAGGTAAAGAGTCAGCTGAGGACTATGCTGTTACAGAGAAGTTAATTGTGCTAAGTATCATTTTAGTACAACCTGCATGACAGGCACTTCCTTGTTTTATTTTTCCAGCTAAGAAAAGGCCTCTGTGGTGCAAAAGTAGCACTTCAATGTTTATAAAGCTTTATGTTTTAAACAGTTATAGAACAGACCTTGTGTGTTTCATGAGCTGCCTGTGGGTTTGTAACTTGAGGAAATCCCATGGTACTAAAACTAAACTGGCTCTTTATTAAAAGAGCCATGTACAGGCATCCTGCAGCAACAGCAGCCTTTCCGGCTGTGTGCATCCCCCTGCCTCCCCCGAAGCCCTCTCCCCACAGCTCCCTACCTCCCTTCTCTCCAGTCTCCTCTCTGCTTCTTGTCCTTTGCCACGGTGTGCACAAAATTCAGCCAGAACATCCCCAGCACTTCCCGAGCTGTTACAGCGGTTGGTGGCAAAGTAAAAGAGGTTTAGTCTTATCTAAATGAAAAGAGGCATCCCAGAAACATTTTTCATTTAGGCTTCACTGCTTTATCCAGTGTTGCACAGCTCTCCTATGTGTCTTTTTGGATGCAGTTAGCGCCCTTTTAGAAACAGTCCCTTACTTAAAGCAAATTAATATTTTTCTTCTTTATATGAACTAAACAGCACAGTGTTAGCTAACTGCAGTTGTGTTATTAAGGCAATAAAATTACCCTACTGCTATCACCATGACATGATAAGCTATAATGCAATGCTCAAAGCAACGTTTAATGGAGCAGAGAAGTATCTGGCAGAAAATTGTTCTTCACAATTTTTCCAGCCTGATAATTTTAATTATGGTCAATACAAGATTTTTTCATTGCAAACAATCCTGCTATCTTTACCAGCTTTTGTAAATCAGGTCTCAGAAAGATCTTAATAAATTAATAATAATTCTTTAAACTTTAGATTGCTAGTCTGTTTTTAGTCATGTTGATTATCTCACGTTTTTTTATTATTTTCTTCCATAGGAAAGGTATAAATTTTGGTATTTCAAAGGCGTAGGGCAGCAAGGTTATTAACACTTTCAGCATGATCAGTATGATTCTGAGACCATTTACAGTACCTAAAATTTGCTGACCACCAGAGTACTCCATGTGTATGTGCTCAATTTTCGAATGTATGGGTTTGTGATGGAGGGAGGATATAGAGAAGTGTCTTCTAGTTGAACTTTGGTATCAATTCAGGGCAAATAAAATGTGAAAAAAGTTATAGAAATGTTGACAGAGATTAGATTAGAATTAGGAGTCCTGTGTATAATTCAAATACTGATTTTAATCTGCATGGTAATCATTCACATGAGTAGGACCTCAGTTCAAGAAATCACAGAACTCATGGCTAAATCTAGTCCAAACTACAACAGCTTTAGAGATAACATTGAATTTGAAGCATATTGTGGGGTGGAAATATTGAAATATTTCTGCCTGTTTTATCATAAAGATATGCAGGATAAATTCTCTATATATGCAAAATATTAGTATTAATAACTGACAGAATCTACTGTATGTACTACTCTTTATATAGTTAGTTTTCTTGGATGGCAGATCTGAACATACTTTTCATGTAATGCTTGCTTCTTCTGGTTACTTATGAGATCACAGTATTTACAATTAACCTGCAACCCTGCTGCTTCCTTCCAGTATTTAAGAAAGTATCCAAATTCACTCCCTGCATTTGTATAAGCTGTGGAGGTTTTTATAAAGTAATTCTAAAGGAACAATCCAATACTGCTGCCTCCAACAAAAGAATTCACCTCTGTAAGCCTGATCCAAAGTACATCAAAGTCAATGGAAAAAGGCTGGCTGGCTGGAACAGATTTGATGTCAGCAGCTATTTTGGCAATGGATACTGATCACTTCTCGTATGCTGGGCGAAGGGGTGTCCATGCCGCAGTTGACTGTGTGCCCAAATGGCTGAAATAGCTGTCAGCAAGATTTACAGTGCATCTGTATCCCCACAATGAGAATGAAAAAGTAAAAATGATGAAGAGATTTTGCATGTGTCTCCCACTGCTGAGGCATGAAAATGTCGCTTTAGACAGTCCTTGATACAAAAACTACACTCCACTTTCTCTGAGGATTCAGAGCTTTGTGAAGTGTGTCATGGGAGATGGAGATCACCCTGAATGGCAAATATCTCTGAGGGGGAATGTTTGGAGTCCGAAAGAACTTGGGTGTGCAACGGAGGGACAAGGAGGTGCCAAACGGCGGCTAGCGCGAAGAGCTGCCACAGCGGTCTGCTCGGGTGAGCGCTTCTTCCCTGGGCACCTACGTGCTAGCACAGTGGGCAATGGTGTGCGGAGATGCAGCAAAAGGCCGGTGACGCTGCACGCCTGCTGGGCTCTGCTGGAGTGCATCAAGTCAACGTTGTAGCCGGGGCAGAACTGCTCTCCAGAGAGCACCTACATCTCCACATTGTACGGCAGCGTTGCCAGCTCCTTCAGACCAAGCCACTGCATTGTACGGGGAAGCCTGGCAGAGTGACAGGGGCTGCTTAGGTGCACAGCTGGCTGGCAGCACTATGTCTGCCTTTCACAAAGGATATAGCTGGGTGTCACTCCCCTGTGGCAATTTGGAAGCGAGACATCTGTCCTGTCAGTAGCAGTAATGCTCTCTAAGCTGATTCCTAGCAAGGATGTAGTGTTGGAGATAAAGAAAATTTTATAGTTCTTCATAGTGTTCTTAACAGGAACAGTTGTTTTTTTCTTATTTATACAAATTGCATATGGTAAATGCATACAGTATATGTAACTATTACATCGCAGAGAGTGAACAAACTGAGCCAGCATTTTCAAGGAACTCTCAGGTTCACAACTCCCATTGTATTATCCATGCATAGATTTATTGCAGGTAACTTAGTTTCCTTAATAGCCTTTGTACCCCAGAGGCTCTAGCACCTTGCACTCTCCTCACTGCAGAGCAGCCCTGTGGTTTCTTCCTGGCTCTTCTAATGAAAGGGTGAAGCTGCCTAAGCCAGGAAATGAGTATCCATAACAAGCCCGTGTGTCTCACTCCCAGTGCAAGCAAACACAAGGGGCTGCTCCCATCCTGTGCGCCAGAAGGAAGATATACGTCTGCCATATACATTTTAAAAGATGAGGTGTCATGTACAGAAGTTAAAGACAAGTTCATTCCTCTTTTCCCAAGGAGCACTGGAAATACCTCCACAGATAAGACATCAGGTTTACCTATGAGAGCTTGCCTCAGAGCAACCCTTCTCTCATGCTTTTGGGGCAATTCATTTACCTGCTCTGTGCCTCCTTTTTCCCATCTGTAAAAAGACAGAGTCAACAGCATTCTTGCAAAGGACTGCTACTTGCATCACCCCATTATACTATTATTATACCATATTACTCTGGGAAGGCCCAGCTAATAATTTATCATGTTCCATGATTAGCATAGATACAATGCTATAATATTATGATTATGTCTACCCACAAGAGGTATAGATCCTAACAACCTCTGAAATTGAATTTCTCCTACAGCTTTTATTTGCCATGCACAGAGAAAATACCACTTGCTGGGCTGGGTTTGCCTGGCATTCAGAAAATAAGGAATTTCCAGGGAGACTGGGGACTTTATTCTTTCCAAACCCAAATTTGGGGGAACCCCAAACAAGTGTCTGGAAATGCAATGCAGTTGCTCCCTGACTGGTAGAAAACTTGTTTTAGCAGAAAATATGTCCTTTTTTAGTGTTCACATCTTACATAATTTTTCTTTTCACTAGCAATTGCATCTGGGAAACCCTGGAGAATTGCCAAGCCCCACAACAGTGCATACAAAGCTATGAGATCATTGCTTGAGGGATTCTTACTTGTGTCCCAAGCTTTCCACGGTGGTGTGCAGCTCACTGTCTTTTGGAAAGGGCGAAACAATCCAATATGCAATTTTTTAATGCCAAATCACTATCTGGGGTGCATTTACTATGCAGCTTGCTTACAGTTTAAATCTAGAGATTTGAGTCCAAATCTAGCTCTGGCTATGCCTCCAAAGCCCTCAGCAATGCAGACTGTGACTAAAAAATGCTTCCCCGCTACACTCAACACCCCTCAGCAACGCTTATAGAAGGAATTGAAACTACCTGACCGTGTTGAGCTTTCGGCAGTCAATCGTGTAGTGATCAGAGTCAAGAGCAAAGCAGCTGCTCCTATCGAAGGAAGAGGAAGTGTGGGAGGGTTCGTTTTGGCACCGTCTGCTGATCACCGGCTCTCGGGTGGAGAGGATGGGGAGTTTCCAACGTTAAGTTTATGATGGCACTCGGCTTCTCTAGTTGTCAGGAGTGTGATGGGCTGTGCCATTTCTTTTACCTCCAGATGATGGAGGGACTGGTTAGAGAAAACAATTTTTTAATTGGAAGAGTCAGTAAGCAATTTTTAGTGACACAGAGAGAAACAGATTGAGGAATGTGTTAAGGAGAAAGAGATAATAATGCTGCCTTCGATGTTATTTCACAAATCAGGACCCAAGGGAAAGCGGTCAAATACTCACAAATAAACAAGAAAAAGTGCATTTGGTGTGTTTCTGTTCCATGCTGGTATTTACAATAAAAACCAGATATTTTTCTAAAATATTTGAACATCATTAATAAAGCGGGCTCTCTGCGCCAGGTTTTGTATGGTTTGAAGGACCTAGGCCTGCTTTGTTGCAGCGGGCCAGAGCTCTCAGAGAGCTTATACCTGACCTCACAGGACAGACACAAGACACAGCTCAGGACCACAAGTATCTTCCATAGCATAAGCAGATGAAGAAGTTTCTTGGGACCAGAAGGTTGGTACATCAGTGTGGATGATGGTGCAGAGTCCATATCGCATTGTTTTCTCCTCAGCACCATGCTGTTTAGGCTGGGGTTCCTGTGAAAGGAAAGACATTGTTATTTAAATATAGTCATCACGCTATTAAGGTCACATTGGACTAGTATCAAACATGACGGGATAAAATGCAGTTTTACAGCAAACTGGTTTTGGCAGTGAGAAGATCAAGACTTTCCCCCATGAGAAGTTTGTTCTAGACAAGATGGAAGCAGAAAATGGTGTATTTCATGGACATTTTTCTCTTCCTCCCAGGCCTCTGGCAGCTAGGCATGGGGACTATGATGGAGGGCACTGTAAAGTGTCAGCAGCCTGGGGATGCTGAAGGAGAGGTGTGCTGGAAGCTAAAAAATTGTCTTCTAACACATTAAAAAGCAGTCCTACTTTCCACCTGCCTTAGATGCTGCCCAGCATGGCCCTTCTCTGAGTGGGGGTTGCGCTTCAAGAGTAATCTCATTCAAGATATTTCACAAGCAGAAATACAGAGCATCCTGGCTATAGCAGCAGAGGACTTTGCTCAGACAAGTGTATTTTTCCAAGAAGCACAAGTTATTCTAGCGAAGGTTAGTGTTGTGACCAGCACGTTTTGATTGCTTGATCTCACTCAGATTACCAACGCTGCAGCGCGGACTCTGAGACAATGCTGCATTGCCTGCATGGATACACTAAGCCCATGTGAGCCAGGGTCATCCTGGATGCTGCAAGGATCTCACTCGATAGTAACCTTTCCCTAGTGCAAGCCAGCGTGAGGAAAGGCCAGCCAAGCTATCTGCATTGTTTACTCTGGACTCAAAGGCTTGGGTCTATTCAGTTTAATTGGGTGTCAGTGTCCTCCTGACCCTCCCAAATAAATGGAATTTTGGCTTCTGCCAGTACCCATCAGTCATTTCTCATCTAAGAACACAGGAGAGCAAAGACACATTTGCCCTCTGGATGAGACTAGATCCAGTGTCCCTGCTCCAGCAGGATGAACACTTACACCTCTGCCTGCCTCTCCCTGCTGCATCCGGTACAGCTTTTCCTCCACTCGATCCAAGAATGCAGTGTGAGCCTCTGAAAGCAGAGAAACAGAGGTACATCAGAGCTATAAAATGAAATGGGAGTGGCTGTCGTGAGAATGATCTTTGACAGGCTCATCGAAGAACTCATTCTCAGACATATTTCAGACTTCAGTCAGAGCACAACACTATGAAATGCCTAGAGACATTTGTGTTCAGACAGTTCATGTGTTTTGCAAATGTGCATATTGACTTGCCGCTATTCAGTAGAGTTATGCTCACAGCTCGGAGTCTGTCGTCACCTACACTGCTTCCCTAAACAATTTCTTTCCACCTTCACACACGATTTGATAATCTTCAGTGATATTACTGGGAGCTGCTTTATAATGAAAATAGAGACATTCTCTTTTTGGAGATCTAGACATCTAAAGGTTTGGTGCATGTATACAAACTGTCAAAGCATCCACGCATTACCTGCATATTCTGAAATAGTCTGTGTCTTTGAACAGTCTAATGTGGACATCTTAATTCCTGCAAATGTATTGCCATGTGCAGTGCTGTATAATTTTCCGCTAAAGACTGAAATACGAATGTGTTCCCCAAGAGGTTATCTTTCCAGACTCTGTCAAAGTCAACATGAGTTGGAAACAGAATTGTATTCTTGAAAAGCTGAAGGAAATTGGTGGTCTGTGTCCCTGTCTCCAGTACAGTGACACTTCCCTTGGGACATGCCAGCTTTCCCCTCATGTTCAGCTGTTGTGTGATCCAAAATGCTCTGAAATCAATGTAATTCAGAAGTAATAATAATAACAATTATTTTGGAAACTTTTAATGCAGGGAAAAGCAAGAAGATGTCTTTTAATCTGACTAACTGTAAATGAAGCAGATTTAGGTGGCCAGGGATTCTTTGGTAGCAGCAGCCGTGGATCCCATTTATTTTCACAAGGCCTGTATGTAAGAAATCTCTTATCAGAGGAGTCCTTTTGCTTTCCTTTCAGTGGTTCAAGTCCAGGATCTGAAAATATTAATAAAACAGTATTTACAAGCTATAGGACAAACTGTCTGGACTCTAGGATTTGAAAAGCTCTGTTTATTGTTAATCAGAGGATTCCAAAAAAGGAGCATTCAAACATATATGGTAAAGATTATAAGCAAATAATATTCTGTCCATGGCTGTGCTGTGAATGTACAAAGAAAGTAGTGTTGTATGCTACATGGTATATACGTGTGTGTACTTTAACTAACACGTAGTTAATTATTTTCAACTAAACTATCCTTATTAGAGGCAAAGCTATGGAAACTGCACTAAGGGCAGACATCCCATTATGGACTCTCCACAACAGTAAGAATGCAGATGTGGACTATTGTATCTATGATGAGGAGAGCAGACGTTGGACTTGATTCTGTCACCTGGCAATAAACCACCTTTACAAGGCTGAAATTGCAGTCTTATCAGCAACTCTACGTTGGCAAGCAGATTTTTGAGCTAATAATCCTGCTTGTATCAGGCATCCTTAAAACTGAGTGTCTTTGCATGAGCGAAACAGTGTATTTTCTGTGATCTGAGCCCGTTATTTAGAGCTAGGAAGCAGACTTTCTCTGATACTGAAACTTAGGGGAAAACATTGCTGTTTGATAGTCAAGCTTCATCTGAGACCACTTGAGCCAACTACATGGGAGTAGAGGGGTGCTTTGCTCTTACTCCTGCTCCCTACTGTTCACATACTGATTCCTAATTTATTTAACGCAATGAATGTGGGTGTTGTCAAAGACTTACCTGTGTTTAAATGCTGTAATTTTAACTTCAGTTTTAAAGGATCTGTGGAGTAACTTGTCACAAGTTTTGGTAAACCAGCTTCATACTGCACTTGAAAAGGAACGTACATTGTAACATCACATAAGCAATCATGCCTAGAATCAAGACCACTGAAGTTAACTATAATCTTTACATTTTGGATTTAGGTAAGGTAAAAAATGTATCTGTAACATTTCTGTTCAAAAAATACAAGATTTAGGAGATTTAGTTAGCCGTTAATTACCTTGTTAACAGGTCAAGCTGTCTGGCAGACAAGAGTTATGGTTTTCCATTACCCTGAAGTTCTTTATTTACACAACTCCTGCCACCATGGTCCTGATCTCAAATGAGTCCAGTGGTCTCCTGTTACAATACAGATGAGGAACAAAACCAAAACACCCTTCTAAAGAAAGGAGCTGTGATACTAAAAAAAATGTATACTAAAGTAAACATGTTGCATTCTTTGGAGTTGTTTGCATGGAATTATTTGCACTGTTTTTCAAACCTCTCCAGTGAATTTAATTAATCATTAACATACCCTGCAGTCATCTGCATTACAATGAGCTTAAGAGTTTTCTGTTGCTGGAGAACTTAGGAGAGGGTTCAAAGCAAGGCTGAAACAAGAAGGTCATTTAACATCAATGACATATTGTTGTTTAGATATGTATTCTCATTGTTTGGAAGCAAAAGTGATTTTGCATTCAAAGTGGATAGAATGTTAAATAACCGGCAATGTTTTCTGCCAGTTGCAAAAGGAAATTGTGAGTTTGGCTGCTGGTAGTGCTGCGCTACACCAAAACACATTTTGCAGAGCCGGATAAGTGTAGGAGAAGGTATGATACCAGCACACTGGTCTTAAAATCTTTCCAAGACAAGGTGTCTCAGAAGGGTGAGTTTGGTGCATCAGCCTGTTGTTGAAAAGCAATTTGCTTCTTCTATATGAAACTACATCGCTAGGTACACAGATTTGACTGACAATTTTCCCTGATCTTCACAGGTTGAAATGGATATCATAAAACAGTTGTGAGTTACAAGATAGGAAATTGATAGCCGTGATGTTCTGGAGGTATCAGTACTATCTGCATGAATAGAAAGATATTTTTCTTTGATTAAGTGAACAAGATAAAGTTAAAATGGTGGGGCTATGCAGCAGGGTGGGCACCATGTGAAATCAGGGAGAGAACATAAGTGGTGCATGAAGCTACATGTTGAAAACTTAATGGTAATGAATGTTTAACTGTGCATTGATGGGTGTGATGCACAACAGAAGCATATTGGAGAGAATGACAGAAGGAGAAGGAAACACTGTACACTAGTAATTTACATTTCTTACTTGTTGCCTTTCTCTTACTACACCCGTTTTTCTAATTTTTTACTGACTGAGTTCTGATGTCCATTTAATGAAGCATTTCCCATTGGCCTGAATGGTGAAAAAGTGACTGCCCATCTAAGCGAACACAGAAATTACCTCTTTTTGTGAGTAAGATCAAGTCTATACTTAAGAATTTTCGACCAGTGCAGCTGGTCCTTAGGTACATTTTTTATTTAGAGATCTTGCACTGAGATTGCTCATTTCTTTTTGAACTCCTAACAATGTATCATTAAGCGTTCTTCCTAGGGGACATTTTACTGGAGAGAAAAAAAAAAAAAGAGTAAAATTCCCTGTAGAGACAAGTCCTTAGTTCTACTGAATTTCCTCACTGTACAGTCTACAGCCTACTAGAACTAAGTAGCCTGAAGTTTCAGTTGGCTGAAAAGTTAATGACTTGTCAAAGCAATTAGACAATATGCACTGCTTTCCTCCAGACCTCAGAATGGAGATCTCCTCTACCTCTGGACCAAGTCCTGAGGAGAGTCTGATAATGTTTTGTTGTTACCAGGAACTTAATTGGGAACTTTTGGTTGCAACTTTCTTTTTTTGCTTTTTTTCTTATTTCTTTTCAGACATGCTGAATTATAATTATTTGTTTCACTTAGGCAGAATAACGTGGGCATCTAGTTACCGGGTTTCCTGGAATTAGCTTTTAGAGCCAGTCAAATTATTAAAGCATTAGTTTTCTCCTGAAATGGAACAGGGAAGGTTCTGAAACATTGAGAATATTTCCTGATAGGGATGCTATAGATTATCTTGTTACAGGCAGGCCCTCTGAAGTGGTGATCTTAGAAAGCGTAACATTAGAGTTGCAGGACAGACTTGCTGTTTTTCCCTTCCACTGGTTTTGCAAATTTACATTACTGGTCAAGACTTGAGAAAAAATAAGACACATTTAGTTAAAGAGCAATGTTTTGGTTAGCAGGTTTTAAGATAAATTACTATTGAATTACTGTTATGGAAACTTGGTCATCTTGAAATAAATGGAACTCACCTTGAGACAGAATATTATTGGACAAATTTCTTCTGGCTGGCCATAATAGCTAACCAGAAGTTTGCTTTTAATTACCTTAGGTAAACTCAAAAACAGGGAAGTTAAATTCCTGTTATAGTAGCTTGGCAAATAAATTGAGACAGTATTTATACTCTCATGAACATACATGACTACATGTCCAGGTATAAATGTTTGCTATGGAGAACAGAAGGGGCTTTGTTTACTATCTCAGTTTTGTTTCTTATTTTAGAAATAGTAAGTTTGTTAATTGTTCTTTGGGTGAGATTCTTTGAAGGGCTCAGAGGAGTGGGGATAGGAAGGTTTGTAATTAAAAGTCAATTGAATATGGATAGAATAATGAATCTTAATAAAAGATTCTTCTTCTCTCTGTTTTTATGGCACATGATTTTAAAAGATATTACAAAAAAAACCCTCAAAAGCGAAGAATGAGTCCCCAAAAGAAAAAAAAATCTGAACAAAATCCCATTACATTGAAGATTTCTCTTCCTTAGCAGTTCTAATGTTAAAAACACTGATTTTGGGGGAATGCACTAATCCAAGTTGTATCTTGTTTTTTTCAATTGTCCTTGGACCGTTTTTGTACATAATTTGATTATCAGTTGTTGTGAGAAAAGGACAGTTTCTTGCCATAGGTTACGTACAAGAACTAGCACAGTGAGATGCCCGTCTCAGTTAGGGCTGCTAAATGGAAAAATTACCATAAAATACTTTCATCCAGCCTGTCAAGCAATTCAACTGCTACTTATTAATTTGGGGAAAGCAGAAAGTACAGGCAGATGTGTCAAAGAGAGCAAAGTAAAAATGAACTGATTAGCCCTGATGCCATATTTCAATCTGCTCTGCCAAAGTAAAACCATCTTGTCAGCTATAAAGCACATTAAAACATAGAGCTCCAAACCTGGATTCATCAGCTTTCTCTATGGAAGGCGTTTTGGCAAGTAATTCCTGACTAGAACAGAGTTACCTACCAAAGTGAGAGTCCAACTATACTGTAGTAACTGCTGGGTTTGGGGTTTTTTGGCTAGTGACACTGACATCTAGTGGCGTCACTGCCTGATCCCCAAGCATCTTCTCTTCATTCCAGCATGTTTGCTTTATGAAAGTGTAGGAGCCAGACACTTTACCTGCGTGTAATCATGGGGTTTCGGATCTTCATACACACCAGGCTTATATTTGCCGTTCTTCACGAACAGTATTTTGGCCTCGTAAGAGCGGATCTGTGGAAAGTGAGTGACAAGCTGAGGCAAGTCCCTTTTCACAGAATCACAGAATCACAGAATAGTAGGGGTTGGAAGGGACCTCTGTGGGTCATCTAGTACAACCCCCCTGCCGAAGCAGGGTCACCTACAGTAGGCTGCACGAGCTTGGCCCCATCCTCCTGACACCCACCCTTCAGATATTTGTAGGCATTTATAAGGTCCCCTCGCAGCCTTCTCTTCTTCAGGCTGAACAAGCCCAGTTCCCTCAACCTCTCCTCGTAGTGGAGATGCTCCAGTCCCCTCACCATCCTTGTAGCCCTCCGCTGGACTCTCTCCAGTAGCTCTTCATCCTTCTTGAACTGGGGAGCCCAGAACTGGACACAGTACTCCAGATGAGGCCTCACCAGGGTAGTGTAGAGGGGAAGGAGAACCTCCCTTGTCCTGCTGGCCACACTCTTCTTGATGCACCCCAGGATCCCATTGGCTTTCTTGGCAGCCAGGGCACACTGCTGGCTCATAGTTAACCTGTCGTCCACCAGGACACCCAGGTCCCTCTCTGCTCTCCAGCAGGTCCACCCCAAGCCTGTACTGGTGCATGAGGTTGTTCCTCCCCAGGTGCAGGACCCTGCACTTGCCCTTGTTGAACCTCATCAGGTTCCTCTCTGCCCAGCTTTCCAGCCTATCCAGGTCACGCTGAATGGCAGCACAGCCTTCTGGTGTATCTACCACACCTCCCAGTTTGGTGTCGTCAGCAAACTTGCTGAGGGTACATTCTAACTCTTCATCCAGGTCGTTGATGAAGAAGTTAAACAAGACTGGGCCCAGTACTGACCCCTGAGGGACACCACTTGTCACCAGCCTCCAACTAGACTCAGCGCCGCTGATGACAACCCTCTGAGTTCTGCCATTCAGCCAGTTCTCTATCCACTTCACCGACCACTCATCCAGCCCACACTTCCTCAGCTTCCCCAGGAGGATATCATGGGAGACTGTGTCGAAAGCCTTGCTGAAGTCAAGGTAGATACCATCCACAGCTCTCCCTTCGTCTACCCAGCCAGTCATGTCATCGTAGAAAGCTATCAGATTGGTCAGGCATGATTTCCCCTTGGTGAATCCATGCTGACTACTCCTGATAACCTTCTTTTCTTCCACTTGCTTCATGATGGCCTCCAGGATAAGCTGCTCCATCACCTTTCCCGGGATGGAGGTGAGGCTGACCGGCCTGTAGTTCCCTGGGTCCTCCTTCTTTCCCTTTTTTAAGATTTGAGTGACATTGGCCTTTCTCCAGTCTGGCTCAGCCATGACATCCGCCAGCTCCCTCAGCACTCGTGGGTGCATTCCATCAGGGCCCATGGATTTGTGGACATCCAGATCGCTTAAGCGATCCCTCACACAGTCCTCCTCGACCAAGGGAAAGTCGTTCTCTTTGTAGGCTTCATCTCTTCCCTCCGGCGCCTGGGATTCCTGAGGGCCAGTCTTAGCACTGAAGACTGAAGCAAAGAAGGCATTCATTAACTCTGCCTTCTCCGCATCCTCCGTCACCAGGACACCCTCCTCATTCAGCAGCGGCCCCACGTTGTCCCTAGCCTTCCTTTTGCTGCTGATGTAGTTGAAGAAGCCCTTCTTGTTGTTTTTGACATCCCTTGCCAGCTTCAATTCCAGGTGAGCCTTGGCCTTCCTCGTCGCATCCCTGCATGCTCTCACTATGTTTCTGTACTCTTCTTTTCTTTTCCAAGAGAGGAGGAAGCAGCCTGGACCGAAGCCTGGAAAGCTGTTGCGTGACTACGGACTCAGAGGTCATTTTCGGCTGCGGTTCCCCTTTTCCCTTTCCTCGTGGCTTCTGAGAAGGGTTGGATGATGTATAAAGCCGGTAGCTAAAATCAGGAGGCTGGTTTATCCATACGTCTGTGTTGGCTTTGGGCTGCTGAGCTGCAGCTTGTCGCCGTGAGAAAGGCAAGTCAAACCTCGCAGAAAAGTTTGTTTGACTTTTAAATGAAAATTGTCGCTCATCTTGGTGGAGGGTGAACATAGTTCCCTGTTGATGGATTTTTTCTTCTCAGATATTCTCCCTGGCAAAAAGAAAAAGAAAAAAGCAATACACACACATATATACAACAGAACTTGTACTGTTGATTGTTACTTGCATTCTGGCTAGCCCTGTCTGTATACCCTAGTACATTCATGGAAAATAAATTTGTACTTTTACTTCAATATTATTTCGTACCTGTGCTTAGATGAAGAATTCTTGGTTCTTGATTTTCTCTTTCTCTCAGTTCTGCAAAGTAACCTGAAGGATCAAACTCCTAACCATTAGAGAAAGCCCACCTGAAGCCAAATGCATGGATGTTCAGGAATCTGCATGTTCATATCAGCCTGTAGGAACAGAAGCTCTGATTTTTATTTTGCCTGAAATACCCACCACAAAGTAGGGACACAAACACATCCCCTCCTTCAAGTTTTTATTCTTGTCTCATTAAACAGCACATTCTTGAGGGGAGACTAAACCTGTGCGCGTGCAGCACAGCACAGCACAGGAGGGATTTGGTGTGAGCTGGAGGGATTTGGTGTGAGCTGGGCAGTGCTGGATGCACTATAGCCTCCCTTGCACAAGCTGGAGTGACAAAACAAACCTCGAATTAGGGAAATGTTGAAATTCCAGTCTCCATCCTTCCTGGTGCATTTTCATGTTTCTCCGCATTCCCGGGCCCACCCAGGCCACAACATTAATTAGAGAAGGAATTCCTTTCTTATAGCCAAGGATGCCTCTGGGCAGGGTGGAAGACCACTGGAGCAGCACTAACGCCCTAATAGGCAGTAAAGTATTTAGCTCTGTGCATGATCTAGATAATACATTATCTCTGTTCTTTCTCACTGATCTTAAAGACGCTCCCAGACTGTGTTACCTTTCTTACACTATACCTGTAATAGCAGCCTTAAAGAGCTCTTTGGATATTCTGCAAAATCTGGAAGAAACACATAGATCATAAGGGTATTGCAACAGGCCCAAACACAATACAAACTGTTTTTTTCCTGCTTCCTGCAATGTTCAGTGCTTAGGAAACCTGAAGGAAAGCTATAACCCTACAACTTTCTCTTCTTGGTGCCTATTCATTCTGAGGACAGAATGTTTTTTTTCTCAGAGAAGGTGGGGGTCCATTGAAGGATAACGGCGAATGGAAATCTGCCCTTACCAACAAAACTGCATTTCTGAATAAGGATTTGGGTAGGCAGCTTATGGGAGATAAAGTACGTACCCACAAACTCTTTTCGGAAGGTCACGTTCCTGTGCTCTGTTTTCCAGATGATTTTGGTTCCCAAGAAGTGCTGAGCTGTGCCGTGCTGCCAAGCCGGGCTCCTTCCAGTCCAGCATCCCACTGGCTGAAGTGGTCCCAGCTGCAGCACGGCCCCACTTGCAGGAGTCTCCGGGAAGGGGCCAAAACTCAGAGTCCCGGCTCCACGAATTGTTCCCAGGCTATCCAAACACTGAAGCACAGGCTGGATCTGTTCCTGCTTGGGAGGAGGTGAAGAGGCTTGGATGGGAGCTCTGCTTGTGTCCTGTAAGGTGGCCCAGACTTCCCATGAAGTGTGTATGGGGGAGCAGTCTACAGGCAAGGCAGCTGTCCCACCACGACCAGCTGCTGTGTTGATGGGATCACTTAACAAAAAGGGGACAAAATTTGACAGCTGATAATTTATACATTTAAAGAAGCCTTTTCTTGTTTTGCGACTGAAGGGATATGCTGGCAGACTCACCAGGCCAGCTTTAGGTACAGGTGAAATAGGGAGATGCCAAGGTCGGCAGCCAGCTGCGTGAATGAATAGCAAAGGTTCTTCTGCTTTTCCAGTTTCTGTCAAAACGGTAAAAACCTAGACATGCTACCATCATGAAAAGGGTGTGTATGCTCTTGCCCCTCCACAGGTGTCAGGAGCAGAAAGGTTCAGCCCTGCAGAGCTCTGTGTCCTTCTCTGCCCCTCTCCCTCTTCCTGGCACTCCTCCCTTCCCATGGCAGTGTCAGTCCCAGAGCCTGGAGACAACAAAATTCAAATTTTGCCTATATTTCCAAGAAGTCTCAAACCCATGCAACCATTTGCAGAGGCGGTGTCAAAAGGGCAACTCTTCTTTTCATATGCTGCATAACACACACCACTGATCCACGAGTGGCGTGAATACCCACTTCCTCCTTATGTCTCAGTCCTCCACCTGTTTTCTCCAGCCCCGGGATTTTTCCTAAAACCAAAGTTTTGCATCCAGAGGACATTTCTAAAGCAGTGCAATTCTATGATTCGCCATTAATGTCACCAAAGCAAGAAGTCTGTGTATTTTCACTCATCCCACCTCTACCACCTTTGTTATCATTGATTTTCCGTGCATATGTTTGTGACCTAGAAACTGAAACTCACTGATCCAAAGTACCTACAGATCCATATGCACAGTGGTGAACAGGGACCCCAAAGAGATGCAGTAACCAGAAAAGATAGAGTTACCACTCACCACTCCGCGAAAACGGGGTCTTCCTGACAAACTTCATACGCTGTACCACAGAAGGCTTCTCTTTCCTCTCTTCTGCGGGAAGTTAAGCAGAGGGATGAACTTGGAGCACACCCTTATTTAGGGCATTGTTTATTCTTCCATTGTACAAAAGAGCTGGAATATACAGCCATCTGTGTTGCTAAGAAACAGGGCCCTGTTGCCTTGGGACTTGATTCAGAATTCAAAAACAAAAATACTGTCTCAGTAGACTGCATAAATGCAGCTTGAAACCTAGCAACAAGGCCACAAGTTCAACGCGATTCGCTCACATGTTAGGAAACAAGGGTATTAGAAGGAAAATATGACTGAGGAAAAGAAAACAGTAGTCTGAAAACAAAACAGAGCTGCTCTATCACCAATTATCCTAAGGGATGGAACTATCTTTTACTAAACATACTTTTATGGCCTGTGAGATCTGATGCTTTGCTACCCTGTGCTTTGAGCAGGTTCATATTTACTGTAACAAGTGAATACAAAGCATCACCGGTATTTACACCAGTATTTCCTGAATGCTCAGCTTTTGCAGATTATGTGACAAACACAAGAGCTAGGATAGCAGAATGAATTTTGATTTTTCAAGCACTCTGCCAACAGAATAATTTAATAGTTGCTACACACACCTTGGAATGATCACTCTTAAAATGGCAGGGATTGCATAACAAGGAGGAATTAATTAACCACATGCACACAGACAGTTTTCTGTATTTGCTTATGTACAAATAAAGTAAAATAAATGAGAACACAGCACAAGTATAAAATTATGAATACCTTATAGCATCCTTTCACCTTAGCAAATGGTCATTATGTGCTGTTGGAAATTGCATTGGTTCAATCAGCTATTTCATTGCAAAATCTTTTCCCTCTGGTTGCAGAACTTCATTACACAGCTGAAACTTTGGCCAGCCCTCCAGCAGAGTAGGCCAAGTTTGAACCGAGCAATAGTTCTCAGCTGAGTAAACAGGGCTCAGTTGTTTGTTTTGCTTTTTTGATGTTTCATCATAAAATCATAAAGAGCTGTTCTTCAGCTGTGTGATATGACTGTGTTCATACTGGATTAAGCTGGAGACAAAGGAGGAAGCAAAATTCAGTGGTGACAAACAGCTCAGACCCACGTGAACACTTTTCACATTCGTTTCTCCTTGTTCTGCTTCTTATAAGCATATAATTTAACACAGAAAAGAAAAGAAAAAAAGCTTTTTTCCTGTAATGTTGTAGCACTTCCATGCAGTTCCTTCAACATTTATATTGTTGCAATTGCTCAGAGTCAGGGCCTAAAGAGTATCTGGGAAAACACCTTTGATTTTCATTTGTTCATTTTTCAACGACATGCAGAACCCCTTGAGAGGGTATACTATACACTGATACAACACATTTTTCTGTATTTTTAAGCAAATTAACATTTCTTCATGCTTTCAGCTGAACAGGAAGTTGGAGGTTGTAGCTGAGATTTGTGATAGGGCGTTTTATTAGTTCAAATACAGAAAGATCTCACAGCAACCTTAAAGGAAATTATAAGATATAATTGGATGATCCTTTGCAAGTTTCTACTGCTGAGATACCTACAGTTTTACTGAAGAGAAAATAAAATCAAATTCCTTAAAATCACTTGAAGAAATAAAATGTGACATTGCCAGTAGATGGCAGCATGTTACTTATTTTACGAGGTAGAGGCGTTTTAAAATCCGGGAACCTAAGGAGTAAAATCTTTTTGCTCTACCACAGCATAGCAAGAGGGCTTGAAATTTTCCTACACAAAACACCCTCATGTTTTCAGCTAAATATAAGTCCTTTGTAGACTTAAATAAGATTAAGGAGACCTTAAGAGTACAAGCTGGAAAAAGCAGTAAAGCTAGTCAGGATCCTAGTCTGAGCTGCAGAATCTTCTTAGGGACAAGCAAACACAGATGGAATATTATACCCAGATTTAACCTTGAAAACCGTAACCAATAGTATCTATACTTTCTACTTCAAAAGAAGAGATTTCAGAAAAAAAATAAAGAAAAAAAAAGAAAAATAGAACTTGCCCATTCACTATTTTGAAATGGTAAAAGAGAATGGGATGAAAAACATTTTGTTCAGTCACCATATCATACAGAATCACAATCAGTCAAAACCCAGACTATAAAAAAAACGCATGACGACAGGACCGTTAGCATGACCTTTTGAACAAGCTGTGATGTCCAGTGTTTTTTAGAATTTTTAAAACTTGTTGTTCTATGCTGCATTGTTTCTAATAAGTAAAAAAAAAAAAAAATAAAATAAAATAAGTATTTACTTTTCATTTTGAAAACAGACAAACAATTCTTATCACCAGTTTTCAGCCTATGTTAGAAATAGAATCTTTCCTTCCCTTAGGCTCTCAGCTTTTTGGGATAGTGCCCTACAGTTTTCCTGTACTTCTGTGGCAGCTGAACCAGACAGGTTCAGGGCCCTCGTCTGGGGTATATCATATCAATGCTCCAGTGATAACTCAAGAAAACCAGGAAGATGTCACTGAGTGCTTGTAATTCTGATTTAGTTCTTACACTCATGCAGAATCTGGGTATGTCCACTGCATTTGGTGTAAAAGCAATGTGAATCAGAATTAGCCGATTAAAACTACTGCTGGAGCAACAGAAAGAAAGATTAAATCATAGAGGTTTGCATTACTGTGTCAAATGCTGAGCAGTATGTGATAACAGCATAAGATATCATTTCTTCCTCAACTAGTATATAGAGTGGTGTTTGAGGGCAAATGGTGGCTTAGAGTTCCCTTGCTATAACTCATGTAAGTAAGGAACAATCCTACAGATTTTATAAAACCACATCTTACTTCTGAAATCTTATTAGAGACAGAGTAGAATAAATCCTGGTTTACACTAAAATAGCGGTTTCATTTCCCTTATTCTGAGTAGTTGTTCATCAAGCCCAGGAATTAGAGGCACATCTACCCCATGCAGCGCAACTCTGAAATATCCCAGCTAACTCCAGGATCAATGCCTACAGGTCCAGGTCAAGGTGACACATCCATCTCTGCTAATTAGCCTTCGTGTTCAGCATCATGCAGACATAACTCTTGCAGTCAAGTGCTGGAGTTAAGAAAGGCAAGCCAGCTCAGAGCTATTTTAGGCTTCTCTGCACTACACAAAGAGTTGTGAGGGTAATTCCATATCATCATTCCTTCCACAGAGATGAAGGAAGAACAGAACAGTCTCAAAGGCTAGGTAGGGGCAATCCCTGTTTCTTAGAAATGCAATAGACAGGAAAAAACAGCTGGGATACATAGAATAACAAACAAAAATAAAACCTGAACACTAGCTCCCACACTTGTCAAATTTGAGTCCTTACAAATTTCTCCTTCAAACATCTCTATTATAGTTTACCTTAAGATATTGTATGACACAAAACTAAAAGCCTCATCTGTTTTTGCTGTAAGAATTACCACAAAAATTTTATTTTTGTGGAAAATTTAGGAAGTGACTGATTAGAAATAAAGTAACAAGAAAATTTATTTTGTCTTTTCTAATCCATTCTAATTGCAGTCTTTCTGTCTGCTGTTTCCAAACCACATAGAACTGAAGACGAACACACATCAAAGAGTAGTCAGCAGTAGGAATGATAGCACATTGTGATTTGCAATGTTCTTCTAAAGCAAAATTAAGCCAGACAGCAGTTTTCTCCCCCTCACGTCTCCCTTCCCAGTAAGAACTGCAAATATAAGAATGTGTACGTGTATAAAATCAGCTTGTAAATATTTGGTATTCCTACACTTTAAAACAATTACCATCCCATAATCTCAGTCTAAACTAAGTTACGGCCTTAGCCTTTATCACCAAGCTCTAAATCCCTTACTAACAGGATTTAATTTACCCACATTGCTGACAAAAGCAAAACAAGGGATCTACATTGCTGTGGATTTGAGTCATTACATTAGTTGCTGCTGAAGTAATGATGTTCCCTTTTCCAAGTCTGAATCCAGCGGGACTGGATTCCCTGAATTTTGAATTAATCAAAATCTAGAAACTACGGCAGATAGGCACAGTGACTCAGCGTATATAGATTACATTTATTTGGTTAAATAATTCAACATTTTTCTCATGATCTAGTTAACTTTATCATCATACACTTGGCTTCTATTTTTCTGTTCCCACTCTTCACGGCTTTTAGTTTTAGCCCTGCTTTTTCTGAAATCACACAGCTTTTTTCAGACATTTCTGTGATCTCCATAAGGCTGGAAACCATCGATCTCAGAGGCTGGAAAACAACCACCAGCACTAGGGTCTTAACATCTGTGTAGATGATATATGCAGACATATATCTCAGTGGAAGGAACTGACTCTTCCAATGTCTGCTTGGAAATAAAAGGAGATTCACAAATTATTTTCTAAATAACTTGTACAAAGACTGTTTCTTTCATAAATGACAATTTTTAGTGGCTATCATTCCATTTTGTCACACTGATAATGTAGGCTGGAGTCAAAAAGCCATACAAATGATACCTAAAAAATAAACATGTACCATTAGCTGTTTATTGCTGCCTTGCTTAAAGTATTTCAGTCTTCCAGCTGGGGCACATAAATTCTCCCAACAAGGACATGCCTTTTTATTCTGTACTTGCACAGTTTGTACCAACAAAATCCTGCCTCAGGACTGGAGCTTTCATACTCTGCTACGTCGTAGGCAAATACCTGCCTCACAGCAGGAGAGAAATCGAAACATTTGAAGTTACCTATCTCAAGTTGCCAAGCCAGATTATTCAACCAGTGGGAGCCATCTGGAGAAAATGTATGTTTCTCACTGAAGAAGTGCTGGAGGAGTGCACTTAGGAAAAATTTCTTGACTGAGGAAGAAGTTTCACAGAGATGTAAGAGGAAAACCGCTGGAAACGGTGTCTTTTGGGAAGAGGACGAGAGGTAAAAGATTGCAATTTGTTCTTGATGGTGTGTCCTGGGAAAATCCATGCTGCTGTTCCTCACTTTTTTCCCCTCATTCCTTTGCCTGTCTGGCTATTCTGCCCTTCACTAAAGACGTTTTCCCAGAGGCGCCAGCCACACTCTTGGCTGAGGGGCTCAGCTGTGCCCTGCGGTGGGTCCGTTGGGGAACCTGCTGGAACCACCTGGAACCGGCTGGAACCAGCTGGAACCGGCTGCCTCCGGCACAGGGCAGCCCCAGCCTCTCCTCACAGAGGCCACCCTGCAGCCCCTGCTGCCAGTGCCTTGCCACCAACGCCCACTACAGCTCTTTGTATAAAACCTCACACATCTAACGATCTTGGGCCTAACAGTAACATGCGCCACGTAACCTGGCATGCCCAGACACCCCAGAAGACTTGCCTGTGTCCTGGTGCTAGCAAGCCATTAAACTGAACTCAAGCAGACCATTTTTTCATTAAGGTCATGGTGGAAAGTGTATGCTCTGATTCAGTTATACACTGGAAAATATCTGCTGTAAATTAATCAGTACCTGAAATCTGGGGTCCTGCAGTTTCTACATTTCTGTTTGTAGAAGACTTCTTGATGGATGAGAAGTGAGGAATTAAGTTTCATTGCAACATTCATACACAACAAATAGTTTAATGAGTTCAAGCACAACATACGAACTGTGTGTAAAACATAATACATGTTCTGGAAACCTGCAGTTCTATGAGGGTTGTACATCAGTGAAATCAATAACATCATTCCCACCCGCCTAAGTAGGGGAGGGGTGGGAAACAATATCCTTAAGTACGCAGGAATACAGGGGTCTAACCTCTCCTTACAGACCTTGGTTTCTTAAAACTTTACAGAAGTGTACATCTGTACTAGAGCATTACGATTCAGGCAAATTTCTACAAATCAAGAGCAATACAGAACAACTTCATAATCTCATGGAAATATATCCAAGAATGGTATTTCCTTCAAAAAGAAGAAAGAACACACCAGAATCATAGAATCATAGAATAGTTTAGGTTGGAAGGGACTTTAAAGATCATCTCGTTCCAACGCCCCCTGCCACTACAGCAGGTTGTGCCCAAGACCCCCCCCTACCCCTTCCGGGGGGGGGGCATCCACAGCTTCTCTGGGCAACCTGTTCCAGTGCCTTAACACGCTCATTGGAAAGAATTTCTTTATCTAATCTAAATCTGCTCTCTTTCAGTATAAAGCCATTATCTCTTGTCCTATCACTATATGCCCTTGTAAAAAGTCCCTCTCTAGCTTTCTCGTAGGCTCCCTTCAGGTACTGGAAGGCTGCTATAAGGTCTCCCGAGAGCCTTCTCTTCTCCAGGCTGAACAACCTCAACTGTCCCAGCCTTTCTTCCTAGGAGAGGTGCTCCAGCCCTCTGAACAGATTTGTGGCCCTTCTCGGGACCTGCTCCAACAGGTACATGTCCTTCTTGTGCTGAGAGCTCCAGAGCTGGATGCAGGACTCCACGTGGGGTGTCACCACAGCAGAGTAGAGGGGCGGAATCGCCTCCCTTAGCCTGCTGGCCACGATGCTGTTCATTGCAGCCCAGGATATGGTTGGCCTTCTGGGTTGCGAGCGTACACTGCCGGGTTCTATTGGGCTTGTCGTCAACCAGCAGCCCCAAGTCCTTCTCCTGAGGGCTGCTCTCAGTCCATTCTCCACCCAGCCTATATTTGTGCTCGGGATTGCCCTCACCCATGTGCAGGACATTGCACTTGGCCTCACTCAACTTCGTGAAGTTTGCACAGGCCCACCTCTGAAGTCTGTCAAGGTCCCTCTGGATGGCCTCCCTTTCCACCAGCGTGTCAATCACACTGCACAGCTTGGTGTCGTTGCAGACTTGCTGAGGATGCACTGAATCACACTGTCGCTGACCATCAAGAGACGTGTAACGCTGTTTCTGCAATGAAGTGTTCATGCAGCCCACTGGATTGTTGCAAATTGAATCCTGTGTGTCTAACTCTCCTCATCAATATGCTCTATCTTGGTCTTGTGAATTACTTTTAGAGCCAGGTACCTAACCTGGAGGCATTAGAGTGGTATATAATATGGTTCCTAAAACATTATTTTGGATACATTCTGCTGACTCTTCAATATGCATAAAACACATGTAATAGTATTTTCCACAAAGGTATACTGATTTGATGGAGGGGTATCTGAATAACAAGTCCTATGACAGGGAAACATGATGCTGTCCTTACTAGTAACTTAAACAGGTTGTAAATTGGGGACAGGAAAGAGAAAATTCCAAGAGAAGGGAGGGGGGGTGGACTAGTCCCAGAGAGCATCATAGACAGAGACATATGGTATGGAAGGAGGAAATAAGACCAGTCTTGATCAGCACTGCATTCAGAATTCTTGCAGATGGTGAACAAGAGAAATCCTACTGGTTCTCTCCACCGTGAACAAGTAGAAACCTAATAAATGTTCTCTGCAAATCATCTTTGAAAATACAGTTTCAAATCATTACCTGGTCCTCGTTTGCCAAATACAGATGAACGTAATTTTCTGCAGGATGTTTTTCCTATTAGGAAACTCATTTCATTCAATAATTGCTTAATAAAGACAATTCTTTAATTACATAATAAGTCCTTTCCTCTTTCAAATTAATTTTCTAGTAATCCCCATATTTCTCTAACAGACGGTAATAATTATATTGGCTCTGCTGAATAACCTTAAGCCATTACATTCCTTTAGCTAAGCATAGTTTTATGAAACAACCAAATGAATATTGTCTTTGCAATGAAGATCTACAATCCTGAATGCTTTATAGTCTAAACAGAAAATTCTGCCATTAGAGGCTGGATATTATTTCATTCAGCCAGGACTCTTTCAGGTAAATTGACTAATCATTTTCTAACACACTTGATTGTAAACTGTACAACAAGGAGTTAAAAGTTCTGAATTCCCAAGATTCTTTGTTCAGTGTTTCAGAAGCCAAATCAAGTGTAATTTGCATTACTACAAAGGTGCTAATAAATATACACTGCTTCCACAGGCTTAATATCAACTCAAATAGATTGTGCATATGCCCAGCTCTAAATCACGGATTCATTTATAAATTGAAATCATTAATTCAGCCACTATATTACAATAATGTGTCATATTGTAGGACTTGCAGTATATTCACATGAAGGTGGATTGAGTTTGCTTTCATTATTCAATATGCTTATCCCCCCAAAATAAATGGAAACCAATAATGAGTCAGATTGATGCAGGCATGAAGAAGCCTGGCTTTTATTTATTTAGCAATAAAATAAATTTTAAAAGAAAATACTTATCTAACAACACTCAGATGTTCTTTCTGTTCTCTTAAATATCTCTTTGCCTTATGCTCACGAGGTTTTTTCTTGTGAAAAAAATGTTTGGTGAAAGCACCCTCACACTTATGAACTAGACCTTTGTATTGGAGTTCCCTTGTGACAGAACTTTGAAAACAGATAGCCTCTACCATCCTTTGCTGAAATATCAATTTTGACCTTTTTCTTTATTCTTTATGGTTTTCTTTCTCCTTGTACCTTAGTTTTAGGCTCTCGGTTTTTTCTCTTCTTACTTTATACTCTCTCACCACTGGGCTGCTAGGATGGGGTAGCATCTGTTGCTGGTTCTGCAGAGGCTGGGCACCTTTTTTCTTGGCTAAGCTGAATATTGAGAAATTAGATGTACAGCGTTGTTTAGTGAACTGCTCCTGAGTGCATGTCTTTCTGGCCTACTGTACCGGGACTGTTGCAGATGCAGGAAGGAAAAGCAAGTTTCAGGAAGCTATTCTTTGTAACATCTTTGTACTTTGTCCTATTCAACGCATTTATTCAAAGAAAATCCCAGATTCTACAATTCTCCAAAGCGAACTTTGTTCTCTGTGGCAAACTGTTCAGTTCTGATCCTTTCTTGTATCATCTCAGTGGTGTTGATGTCACATGGAACTGGAACCTACTGCTTTGTACACAAAACTGCGCATCTACTACTGGATGAGAGCTACTGGAGAGAGTCCAGCAGAGGGCTACGAGGATGATGAGGGGACTGGAACATCTCCCCTACGAGGAGAGGTTGAGGGAACTGGGCTTGTTCAGCCTGAAGAAGAGAAGGCTGCGAGGGGACCTTAGAAATGCTTACAAATATCTGAAGGGTGGG